TGTACCTGCAGACAGGAGCCAGCAAGGAATTATCGGAAAACTCTCGTACTTTAACGTAATTAATTCAAAGCCTGATGAAGTGAACTTCACAATGACCTTTGAAAGAAACAGTAAGAAAAATGGATGACTAATATTAATAATCATTTACTTATTATCATCATCATTATTATTAATGTAGATGGTCCTAGAGGTGAAGCCAGCAAGAAACTTGATTCTCAGAGAAACAGGATCATAGCTACTACAGCACTCAAGGAAGCAAGATCACTGGCCGATCAAGGGAATTACTCTGAAGCTAAGAAAGTCCTTGAGGCCGCTACTAAGAAGATCAGTGAATCGGTATCAGTTGGAGAGCAGTTCTGTCAGGGTCTTCTGAGCGACTTAACAAATGCTGCAGATACCATGAGGTCTCAGCATGAATACAAGTCAAAGGGAGCACATTATCTAATGAGCAAGTATGTAACAAACTAGGCATGAGCTGTCTATGTTCATTTTTTCATTTGTTCGTTATTGATGTTACTATTTTTTTATTTCTGATAGGATGCAAACTCATTCTGCTCAGAGGAGCAATTACATGAGTGAAGAAACTCCTTATAGTAATACTTCCAGAGGCATCTTTGTTGCAAAATCAAAGGCAATGAAGAAGAAATAGAAATAAACTAAAACTAATAATAATAATAATAATTAGAAAATGGTATCATTTGGCTACTAAAGTTATATTTTTATATTTTTGTTTTTTGTAATCATGTATTTTTCTATTGTAGCAAAAATAATAATAGCTCATGCAAAAAGTTCTGCAATCCTTAGTAAATTCCTGGCAAAAGCCTCCACTTGACAATGTTACAATATCTCGTCCAATCATCACCGTACTTCCCACGACAGTTATCTTCATCTCTGAGCTGGCGATGGATGAGGAGGACAGCAAAATAAATGAAATAGAAATAAGGAAGAACGTGATTGAAGCCACAAGGCAGGCACCAAGAGAGGGCCATCATAAGATCACCGACATAATTCGGATGACGACATATCCCCCACCAGCCCGAAAGAAGGAGCCTTGTGCCTCTTTTAGTCGGTAAAGTTTTAAAGTTTTTGACGGACGGGTGGAACGGGTCCCTACGAAACTGGTCCTTTTGCGAGTTTGAGGATCTAAAAATGTAGTACCCACATAGCTTGAGAGCGACGATGCCAGCCAGGGCCCACCATGAGAGGTGATTGGGGTGATCTACAAGATACCTTGCTTGAAGGCTGTATGTGAATGGGACCCAAGCAAGATCACCAAAAGCTAGCATGAAGCCAAATCCATCATGAGCAATATCCATTGTGGTTAGTATTGCTTCCTCAAACAATAGGGCATCAAAGACATACCAGGCCTGGAATACACAGACGAGTATCATTGAGTTACTGACCACTCCATGCTTTTCCCATTGGGCTGCCAGCATACAGTAATTGATGAGCGTCCATCCTATTAGACCCGGACGCAACTCACAGAAAAACTTCCAGTCGAAGGCTCCAATGCGAGGATTGAGTTCTCGTCCAATGAAAAAGTCATAGAAGAAGTTCCCGCTGTTTCCTCCAAGAGCAAGTAAAGCTGAACTACGAAATGAACGTGCGTATAAATAGATTGAAAGAATGAACGAGAGAAGGACAGCAGACGTTACGAACGAGAGGTAGTGATGGTAAATGAAACTAACGCTAAGTTTGTAGTAGCAGTAAGCGACTACAAACACAATGTGAGACAAGATAAAAGCATAAACTGCATTAATGCGATATGTGAGTTTAGTCCCATCACGTAAGAGAGATCCTTGTACAGTTCTCCCCAAAGGAATCAAATAAATTATGACATTAGCAACAAACCATCCCACGCATATCAGGAAAGCAAGTGGGTGCCAAAATTGATCGCAAGGTGGTAATTTGACTTGAAGGAGACGTTTGAGTGGATAAATCTGACAGGAGTCTTTGTTGCAGAATAAATACAGGCCAAATACAGCAACTGGGAGTCCTAGCGTCATGAAGAAGGCTCCTACTGGCCCCATGAATTCAAA